AGCAAAGGTAACTCGTGTGTTTTAGACTATATCCTAAGAAGACACATAATGTAGATCAAGGTTCAATTTTGTTTTTGTTATATGGGCCAAGATCGGGCCAACAAGCTGACCTAAAAACTTTGAGAAAAGAGTAATTGGGCTTGGTTTTGAAGAGCATTTGGTAGGGACTGGTTTTATTTAGTACGAGAGTGGGAATGCAATTTAGAAGGTAGGCTACTGTGGAGAAGGCATAGTTCCAATAGTTATGAGGAATATTAGCGTGAGATAATTAACTGAGACCAGTTTCAACAATGGAGCGATGTCATCGTTCAATAGTGCCATTTTATGTGTGTGTGGGGACAAGTGATGCGATGGTGTATGCCAAGTTTGGAAAAGAGATTGCGTAAAGGTTGAAACTCTCCACCCCAATCAAATTGAAAGGATTGAATTTTAAAATTTAGCACATTTTCAACAAGAGTATGAAATTGAAGAAAAATGGAATAAACTTCATCTTTTGTTTTAATTGGAAAACACCATATATAACATGAAAAATCATCAACAAAACATACATAACAACAAAAACCATCAGTAGACACAACTGGGGATGGACCCCATACATCACAAAAAATTAATTCTAAAGGAGCAGTGGGACGATGAGTAGAAGATGGTGAAGGAAGGCGATGACTCTTTAAGAGTCAACAAGCTGAACATTGACTTGATACAAAGGTTGATGAGATAGGTAGAGAGTTGGAAGATATGATGTGTTGGATAGTGCGATAGGCTGGATGACCCAAACGATTATGCCACTGAGTAAGAGACGCACGAAAACCAAGGCAAGAAACAATAGGTGGAGAGAATGATTGAAGACCTTGAATAGGATAAAGATTATTGATTCTGGGTCCTTGGAAGAGGATTGTTTTGGTCTTGGCATCCTTTGTAAAGAAACAATGAGCATAAAATTCAAAATAAACATTGTTATCACTACAAAACTGAGCAACATATAGAAGGTTTTTAGTGAGTTCAGGAACATGCAGAAGTTTGTTAAGAATAAATTTTCCATAAGGAAAGGAGAAGTAACCAGAACCAGTGTGTTGGATAGGAAAAGATGCTCCATCACCAATGAAGATTGAGTCACGACCATCATAAGGATTAGATTGAATGTTGAGATTTGAGAGTTCAACAGTCATGTGATTTGTGGCTCCTATATCTGGGTACCAAAGATCAATAGACTGAGATGGAGTAAAAGCAAAGTAGTTGGCTGAAAAAGAGTATGGTAGAGGTGCTTGGAAAGTATGATCATAACAATGTGGACATGCAGTTACTATATGGCCTAGACTGTGACAAAGTTGACACGTGTCAGAGGAGGTTTGGAAAAAATTGGTGTTACTCTGAGAAAAGTAGCTGTTGTGGCAACCACCATGATTTCCATAGTACGAACGGCCACCTTTGTTGCTGGGTCCAAAAGTGTGTCAGCCAAAACCACCACGATTAGTATTGAAAAATCTACCACCATGTCCTTTGTAACTTTGAAAGCCATGACCACCACAGTGAGAAGGTGTGGGTAGGAGGCCATTTAAGGTAACGACTGTATTTGCTGTGATTTGAGAGACCAGAGTACCAAATGTTTGAGATTGACGAGCTTCATAGGTAAGCAAGTGGCTGAGAATCTTTTTTGGAGTTAATGTGTCTCTTCTAGTGGTAAGAGATGTTACTATAAAGTCAAAATCAGTTCCAAGTCCTCCAAGAAGGTAAATGATAAAATCAGCATTAGGCACAGGATTTCCGGTTGCAGCAAGGGAATCAGCTATAAGAGTAGCTCTCTGGTAATATTCTGAGATGGATTCTCCTCCCTTCTTAAGGTGAGTAAGTTGTTGGTGCAATTGAAGATACTTTGCCTGAGATTGTTGAGAATACATTGTCTCCAATGCAATCCACATGGCTCTTGAAGTCGTATGTCTTAAAACTTGTGCAATAAGTTTTTCAAATAAGGAAGAAATTAGTAGAGAGAGAATAAGTTGGTCCTGTTCGAACCATTTGATGTAAGCTTGATTGGGGGTGCTATTTGAAAGTTTTTGGGAAGGAGGTGGGTTAGAACCATCAATGTAATTGAAATATCGTTGCCCATAAAAGTAAGGTGACATTTGGGCTTTCCAAATAAGATAATTTTCTAGATTAAGCTTGACTGTGATGAAGTGTGAGATATTGGAAGGAAGCGATGGCGTGGCCTGGGAACATAAGATGATGGGATTGGAGGTAGCGAACGAAGAAGAGTGAGGAGTAGGACTTTTTACAGGATTCGTCATTTCTAACTATGGAGGCTTTGAAGCCATTTTAGATATTCAAAAGAAGAAGGCAACAAAGAAAGAGAAGACTAGTAGTAGAGTGAATAAGCATTGTTCATATATTTCACTGTCTTGAATAGTGACAATTACAATGTATATATAGAAAGTGTGAGCGTTTCTAGAATAATCTTTTAGGGCTTAGCTGTACAAGTGCTACACAAAGTATCTACTGTGTTAAGCTTGGGCTTTGGCATTAGATTTGGACTTGTCATCAGGCTTAAGACAATATGAGTCAGTTGGTGTGCTAACAATTCTTCATTAGAAGCAAGTATGATCCCTTCATTTTCTCCTCCTTTTTTAGTTTCAGCTAGCACAAAGATAAACTCACCTAAATGAACAATCGAATATTATGATGAGAAAAGATGATTAGAGGAGAAGGAGTGACAGTGGCTGCAGGGCCAGGTGGTAGCGACGTCAGTTGCAAACCCAGGAAGCGGTGACTGGAGGAAGTATGATTATTTTTTTATTATGTTTTAGTAAAAATTGGTTCTGTTTTAGGGAAAGTATGATTATTTTTGTTTCTTCTATTACTATTTTTGTTAAATTTGGTTTGGACTGAGAAGGTAACTGAGGCATGGCACAAAGTCAGTAAGAAAATGTGAAAGCTAAGATTATTGTAAAGCAAAATGTGGAAGTTTCAACCGAAGACCCAAGTACTATTATTGAATATTCCAGAAATAATAATGAGAGACAAGATGGTGAAGAAGTAACACCATGACTCTAAGAGGAAAAGGCTACAGCTAACATCTGATATTTAGAATCATTTTACACGATTGTCATTAACACGAATTAAAGGAAAACATAGGGCGAAGTGCAATTATTATGGCATGTAGGGTTGAACACAAAACCCGGTAACCCGATAAACCTGGTCTGGCCTGAATCTACCCGGTCTCGCCCCTAAAAAAGAAAAAAAAGCCCGATAAAAATCAGGTTAGACCGGGTTTGACCTGAAGACTAGGTAGGACCGGGTTCCGAGTAAGTATGCTGGACTGGTTAACTCGGTCCTACTCGGTGATACATATTATTTTTTTAATATATATATTAGACATCATATTGATTTTTAAAAAAAAAAGGAAAAAGAAGCAAAAAGCTCAAGTCCCAAAGAATGACGCCACTGATTGATGGGGGGGTCAGTACCACCATCCTCAAAACCTAATATGATTTGAAACTCAATTCAAACCCTAAGCCTTAGGTTTTCAGTGCCTTCTCTCTTCCTCCTCCCACTCCCACTTCCCTCTCTCTTCTTTTTCTCACTTCCCTTCTCCATTCCTCCTCCCATTTCCCTTCTCTCTTTAGCGCCTTTGATCCTTTCACTTCCCTTCTCCCTTCCTCCTCCCACTTCCCTTCTCTCTTCGATCTACTGCTCAAATGCTCAATACTTTCCTTCACTGTTGCAGACTTGCAGCCCCCTTCTCTGACCTCTTTGTCATCTTTAAATATTCGTCTTGAAGCTTGTTATTATCCTGCTGTATTTTATTCTTGCTAATGTGACGTGGAACAGTTATGGTGATAAACATAAATAGAGTCCTATCTCCTCCTCTAATTCTAATTTTCTACGTTTTAATCAGTCTTCTTGAAGATCTTGTGGCCTGGGTGATTTTTCATCATGAGTATATTTCTTTTCCAATTCTTTATATATGTATGAATTTTTACTCTTCATACTGCATCGTCACACTTATTTTTCTAACCCAACTAGATCATTAACCTTTGGTTAAAAAAAAAAGAAACTAGACCATTAGCCCGGTCCAATCCGGTCTGGTCTACCCAACCCGATGGGTAGCGGGTTCTCCACTGAGTTGGACCGGTCTTCGAGCTAAAATGGTTAGCCCGAAGACCAAACTGGACCAAACCACGGGCTAATGTCCTGCCCTGCCCGGTCTAGTCTATGTTCAGCCCTAATAGCATGGATTATGTTATGATGGATTGATAGGTTAAATGTTTAATTAGTTATTTATTTACTGCCTATCCAAGTTATTTCTGGCCTTTAAACTGAAAAGATTGAGTGGGAATGAGAATATGAGATAATATTGTGGTATCTTTATATTTGAACATGTTTTAGATTATCATTTTTTAAACGGCTCCCTGTAACCTACATAAATCTGCCTAGTTAAACCAGCTCGTTTAATAACAGACTTAAACAAATATTTATAGGTATAGGTTAGAAATTAAACAGGTGGGTTACAGGTTAGGGGCGTGCTGTCCAAGCTGGTTGTTATTCTATGCTAATCATGCCTACCACTATGTTCCTTATTATAAATTACTTGTATCTCAAACCCACAAACCAAGAAATACATTAAATTAACTAGTTTTTTCTCATATTTACTCTTATTAAAAGTTGAGAAAGAGAGAGAGGGAGGGGATGGATTGCATAAGAAATGAAAAGTTGAGAGAGAAATAGAGAGAGATTAATTAATTTTTTATTAAATTAATAGGGATAAAATTGCAAAAAGATTATTAATTATACTACAAGTGACTTATATTTTGAAATAAACTTTTAGAGTATAAATGATTTATAATAAGAAATAGAGTCGTATAGAAATGTCTGTCATTTACACCGATCCTCTTCCTCTCTCTTGGGCAGGCAGTGTTTGGTGCGACGGATCCCTTCCCCTTGTAAGTTGCAACCTTGTCCGGTACTGATTTTCTGGGATCAGGAGGGGAGGGGTTTTTTTTGCGTCACGACTAGTATGCCCATGATATATTTTTAAATTCCCTAATTACCCTCCTTCGTGCCGGGAGGAAATAGAGGAAATAGGCCTCGTCCTCCTCGCTTGCCTGCCATCGTCTTCAATTCACTCGCTCGCTCTTTTGACGGCCATCACACGCACCTCCACCGTTCACTCCTCTGTCTTTCAGTTCACTTGCTCCGTACGCTTTTTTCTTTGAGCCTCCTTCTATTTTTTCCTTGCTCGTCATTCAAGTTCGAATTCAAACCTCTTGCAACTTGGTTTATCTGGTGTTTTCCCCTCTGCTTAGTTTATCAGACTCGGCGCATTTTTGATAAGAGGTATGGGTTAGTGAGATATAGCTTCCTTGTTAGGATAGCAAATTAAGGGACCTGACGCATTTGGCCTTTAAGTTGATGTGAGCTTGTCTACTTCTGTTGGTTTTAGCAAAGTTCAACACTTGAAATGTTTCTAATTTTTGCTTGTTTAAGTTTCCTCTACCAAGAGAATAATGGGGCAGGGACATGAACTTGGAGTTTGAAGGCTTCAAATGATTTTAGCAGAAACTATTTTTGGATTTCCTTTCAACCACTTACTATATGACGAGTTTGATTCCATTTTTTCCCTAACTCTATGAGAGAGTAACCTGTTGTTAGAACTGGGGAATCAAAGGCGGCTGAATAATACTTTTTTGTTTTTTCTTTGCTTTGGTGATACAGCATCATCTTAGTCTCGAGTAGAAGAGAAATGAAGACAATGATAGCAATAGGGTTTGAGGGTTCAGCCAACAAAATTGGTGTTGGCATTGTGACTTTAGATGGCATAATTCTTTCAAACCCTCGCCACACTTACATTACTCCTCCTGGACAAGGGTTTCTTCCGAGAGAGACTGCCCAGCACCATCTCCAACACATTCTTCCCCTAGTTAAATCTGCTTTGAAAACAGCACAAATTACTCCAGATGAGATTGATTGCATCTGTTATACCAAGGGTCCTGGCATGGGAGCACCATTACAAGTGGCAGCTGTTGTTGTTCGTGTTCTTTCACTGCTTTGGAAGAAGCCAATTGTTGCAGTGAATCATTGTGTCGCACATATTGAAATGGGAAGGGTTGTAACAGGCGCTGATGATCCTGTTGTTTTGTACGTAAGTGGTGGGAACACTCAGGTCATTGCTTACAGTGAGGGACGTTACAGAATTTTTGGGGAGACCATTGATATCGCTGTAGGAAATTGCTTGGACCGGTTTGCCAGGGTTTTAACACTTTCCAATGATCCAAGCCCTGGATACAACATTGAGCAGGTTCGTCACATCACTAGAACTGCATTTTATGGCAAATATGTACTGCTTTGGTCATTTTCCTCTTAATGTTTGGTGTACCCTGCATTAATTCTAATTTTTGTGCAATTCGTGGAGCGATAAAGTGTATAACCTAGACTTGCAAAATAAAATTTGACATATTATTTGCCTCAAACTTTTGGAAGGCTTCTTTTATAGTCGCTGTATTATCAGGTTCAGCATTTAGCTGATTTTCAAGAGCGAAGATCTTGTTTATTTTGCCTCTATCCACTTGGGAGTTGCGGTTGTGGGAAGCTTCGCAGCCAGATCTCCTTTTTTATTTTGTCAGGAGAATGTTGTGAATAATTGTTCTTAAAAGTTTGAAAATGAAGTTGCAAACTTTCTTTCAGTTTGGGTTTGGTATTTGAGACTCTGTGCTGCTATGTTAATTGACAAATTAGGAAATGATGAATTTTATTTTCATTTTATTCTAATGTTGGAACCTATATCTTATCTGTTTCATTTCTATCGCAATTCATTACATGTTCTTACTCTACTGGATGTATAAGAAAAGAACCAAGAGAACATTTTTCAACTATGTTTTTTATTCTTAAATATCAGATCTTCAGCTTGCCATTTATTGTTTTCTCATGTTCCAGCTTGCGAAGAAAGGGGAGAAATTTATAGACATTCCTTATGTTGTTAAAGGAATGGACGTGTCTTTTAGTGGAATATTAAGCTATATTGAAGCAACTGCTGAAGAAAAGCTAAAGAACAACGAGTGCACCCCTGCAGATTTGTGCTACTCTCTGCAGGTAAATTTTCTGCTGCTCCCTCTGTTAAGAATCTTGAAAAGAAAAAAATCAGTACGCTGATAATTCTTTTAATATATTGCAGGAGACATTGTTTGCAATGCTTGTGGAGATAACTGAGCGCGCTATGGCTCATTGTGATAAGAAAGATGTTCTCATAGTTGGTGGCGTAGGTTGCAATGAGCGTTTGCAAGAGATGATGAGAACAATGTGTGCTGAACGGGGTGGAAAGTTATTTGCCACTGACGATAGATATTGCATTGACAATGGTGCAATGATAGCATATACTGGCCTTCTTGCTTTTGCTAATGGCACATCAACTTCACTTGAAGAATCTACATTTACCCAGCGTTTTCGGACAGATGAAGTGAAAGCAATATGGAGAGAAGCTAATTTGGGAAGACAGAATGGGCTTGCAGATCAAAATGTTTGACTTTCTGATTCCGATTTTGAGGTTGGTCTTTTTATCGCTATCTCGTTTTTCTCACGCAAAATTTCTTTTATCCTTAGTCAAGATTAAGTGGGAAATATTACTAGAGTAATTTGAGTTCAGGGTTGAGGTAAATTGATATCTAATTTAGTTTCACGAGTCCTGATAAATAACTCTGTTGAAGGAATACTGTTTTGAAAGTGAATTGATTATCTTTTTTGTTTCAATGAAACTGGGAATAATAGTGAGTACAGCCTTTTATATATTCTGAGAGATTTCTCCTGCACATTACAGGTCTAAATATTCTGTTGTAATGAAGATAAATTGGTGGAATGGAACCTGACGTTCTTCGTGATATATACAAATCTGCATCTGCCAAGCCGAAGGTTAATCTTCAAGGACCTTGAAATTTTATTATTGTAAACATTATGTATAAAATTGTTTGACCATGGGTGGCCTTTTGGGTATTGAACCTTGTATCGAGATTCCATGTATGTCCCTATGGTGTCCTTCTTTCTACTGCCCCCCCATCTCTAGGAGTCCAAGTTATGCATGCCTGACTGGAGTTTATTTGCATGCCTGTTATTGAACAATGTTAATTAGGTAGTTTATTCCTCAGATTATTCTCATTATTTGTTGAGCCTTCAGCTCAAGCTTATCTCTCCATGCGTATCCAGTTGGCAAGTGTTGAGAAATGAACTTGGTAGAGTAATGATAATTCAACCACAACTCTACGAAGTGCAGATCAGTGATTTTATAAGCAGTGAGCAAATTTATGGCCTGCACAGATAGCTGCGACTTCTTTATGTGAAAGAAGTCTTATGCGAGATTACGGAGTACCGTGGCACGTGATGCCCCGTTCTCTTTTGAAGGAAATTTTTTAAGCTCATAATCAAACGTCTTTAAAATAAATACCGGAAGATGTGTGCTCTCTGAATCAAGTAACCCATCAAGGGGACTTGTCCCTTCTATGTGTTCCTACCAGTTCGACCTATCCATACTCATGCCAAATGAGTATTAAGACGCGATTGGTTGATGAAAAAACCAGAAGGAAATAAGAAAACTTCGTGTTATTTATTATATTTTTATAATAATTATTAAATAGTATGTATTTATTAGTTTTTGACAGTGAGGAAGGCAACCTTTTGTTTTTAACATTTTTATTTTTTAATTATTCATTCAAGTTCCTTGAGGTGAGTTTTCATCTTTACATGTGTTGTGCTTCAAGTGCACTTTCTACTGCAAGTGATGAGAGAATTAGCACACCTAACATGTATTAAATTTACGACCGCTAATTGAATTCTCGAGCAAAAGAGAGGTCCTCCAAAAGGCAGTAGTGTACTTGGCTTAGATGGTAAATGTGGGCTTTTTACGGTTGCGCAATCATTGAGTAAGTTGGGGGCAAAAGACAGAGATGGCGTTAGAATCAGTTAAAACTTGAGAGTGGTCCTATAGGGATGTTGTGGTCCTCTCATCTCAAGGCTTTATATTGTTGGAAGTTGGTACCAACTGAACTACCACATGCCATATATATCAATATGCATAAAATGTAACACTCATTTTCTCCTTTTAAACAATATTCTTGAGTATTTAGTTTAGGCATGCCCTTCCTTGTTTAACAATCAAATTTATGAAGATCCAAGTCTTAGCTTTGCGATACATTCTTTTCAAAACCTCTTATGCTTTGTGTGAATTTTATTTGCGGCTTCCCTTTTAATCCCATTGGCATTAATGTCTTGTCCCACTATATTATGTTTATAATAAAATATAATCCATTTTAAGTTAACAGAAATTCATGAAACAATTAAAGTATATTAAGAACATCAATTTACACACTGCTGGTTCCCCAAAAAAAAAAAAAATTTACACACATACACGCACTAATTAGAACCTAGGAGGGACCAGCAGCTGTTGGGTTGGGGACCACCTTCAAATTGTGGGACCATTTGTGATTCTGTGTCCACCTCGAGCCCTCAATCCAACAGGAACCATTCGATCTGTTTTTCCCACCTCCCAAGAAGGGAGTACCCAAAATAATCCAAATTCTTCAATGACATTAAACTCAATATGTGGATCCCTTGTATTGTATATATGAAACTTTTATGTTGTTTTTAACTTGTTAACACTACTGTAATTTGTAATAAATGATGCACTATTTATTGCTTATAAATCCTTGGCAGAGACAAAACTCAGTTTGCTGATCACTACATCATAATTGTAAAATATATATAAATATTTGTTTAACACTTAAGATTTTGAAATCTCAAAAAATAGTGTCTGTTTAGGGAGATAAGTTGTTGGAAGGTGTACTGGCAGGGCACAACGTCAAGCCTTGCCTTGGGTTGGTCTAGTGGACCCCACACCAAGGGCTGTGCTGAGGTGGCTCGTAGTTGGGACAAGAGTGACAAGACGATGACCTGCAAGATGCCAAAATCACACACACACAGACAGGGTCACTTGTTCGGTGGGCGTACATGGCTTTGAAGAAGGGACTGGGGAGTGTCTTCATCATCACTCTCATCTCTCTCAAGAAATTGGCAGAACGAAGAGAAGGAGTTTTGAAATTTGAACATACAGAAAAAGAAAAGATGGGAACAACAGAAATGGGTTTGAAGAGAGAAGGCAGAAGGCAGCAACAAGAAGGATTCATAATACAAATGTTGCGAAAAAGAGGAGGTGAACGAGTTTGTTGTTGTTGTAGGACTCCACCACCCACCTGGAGACTCGAGGCTTCGTCTCAGGCTCAGCATCATGGCTTAACAAAATCCTGTTCCTGAATTCCTCCTCGATTTTCCCACAACCAAGGTTTCTGCCAGAAAGCTTTGTGCATTCCTCTGGCAGATTCAGCCCCACCAAAAGGCCCCACTTCGCCGCCGCCGTGACCACAAATCGTTTGAGCAGGTTTATTCTCATCTTCTATCACGCTGCTTCTCTAGTGTTGTCTCATTTTCTGTCAAGGACCAATGGCTTCCCTTTTATATCCCTTTCCAGTTTCTGCTCAATATATGCTTGTCTATCTGCACTGTTCTTGTTGGCTTCTGTTTCACCACTTCTTGTTCTCTCTTGATAATCTGGGATCATTTTCGTTGATATATCATTTACTTTTCTGGTAGTTCAAGATTAACCTTTGTTCTTGTCGGCTCTTGTTTCACCGACTCTTGATCTATCTTGATATTTAAGAGTATTTTGGCCATTCTAGAATTCTTCTCCCTCCGTCCGTTACTTTTGGATCACTGGGATAACAATTTCCAGTGGAATTGAATCAGGTAGAAAATAAAGAATTATGTATACTTGAAGCTGTTTAACATAAATTTCTTGGCAGCATTTTTCCCTTTCTCTCGGCCATGTTTTCAAGCACTTTCTATCAAAATCCTGATCCTTACCCTGTACCTCATTGCAGCCTGCATCTGCAAATAGCTTGAGAAGACAAGCTGCTGCCTTATTTGCTCAGCACCATATACCTATTGAACCAAATCGCTATGCTACACAGCCTGTAACCTCGTCTAATCACAGTAACTTTCCTGAGGTAAAGCTTGCCTTTTTCCCCATTTGAATCTCTAGTTCCATGTTGCTTTGTCCTGCTTTAGATGTACGTGTATAGCACATTAATTAAATCAAAGCATGATTTGTTTAGATGATGAACTTCTACTGAAAGGCACATTCACCAATCTCTCTTTTGTTTCACGGGAGACAAATCACTTCATTGATTTTTTTAGTTATTTGTTGAAACTAAATTGACTCTCATCATTGACCTATCATTTCTAATGAATCTTTCAATAAATTTGTATATAGGAAAGGTTAACTGTTATTTTACCCTTAATATCTTGTTTAAACCAATAATGAAGCTTGTTGCTTGAAACAGGCAGCACAATGCAATTGTGCGGTAATTCCCACAAGTTCCATGGAGGTCAAAGGTAGGATCCGAGAATCAAGTTGTAACCTTAAAACGTCCAGAGAGTTACTGAGAGTTCTTAACCGTATCCAGAGCATTAGAGAACAACATGCATCAAATATGTCTGCTGTGAAAGGCCTGAAAGTGGAACTAGATCTTTCTCGAGGACAGATTAAAGAATTAAAACGAGGGAAGCAAATGAATAGTTGGCAAATGAAAAGCCTAGTGAAGCAAATGGCTGATGACAAGTTTGTAAGGAAGAACAATGCACATGACAGACTTAAAGTTGCAGTTCAATCAGTAGAGGAAGATCTAGAAGATGAGAGGAGATCAAGAAGGCATTCTGAAAGCCTGTATTGGAGGCCGGCTCAGGAGCTTTCTGAAGTGAAGTCCTTGTTTTATGGTTCTTTGAGAGAACTTGAAAGGGAAAGGAAAGCTCGGATCTTACTCGAGAATTTGTGTGATGAGTTTGCCATACGAATAAGAGACTGCGAACAAGAGTCATGCTCTGTAAAGCAGAATTCTGTGAAGAATGATGAAGTAGGTGCAGATGGAGATAACCATGGTAGGTTAATACTTGATATTTCAGAAGCTTGGCTTGATGAGCGTATGAAAATGAAGGTAACCAAAGCTAGCGATGATCTTTTGGGGATAAATTCAGTTGTTGACAAGTTAGGTTTTGATATTGAAACATTTCTTCGAGCAAAGCGATCTGTTAATTTGAGAAAATACGAGAACTCCTCCCCAAAGGAGGTCAGAGAAATTCACCCATGTCAGTATAATTCATTGGATTCATTTCCACTACAAGAATCTATCAGTGCACCTGTAAATATGCATGATGATGATGATGATGATACTAATGCTGAGAATCTTGGAGCAGCTTTCGGTGAAAGACATGGCATCATCAGCTCCATAGATCAAGAAAAGAAAGGAAGCCAAATTTCAACAGGGAAGCAAGTTCAATCAAAACAAATCAAAACAAACACATCTCATGATGACGAGGAACGTTTGTTTATGGAGAGAAATTCAAATGACAGAACAGCTTTAATCAATGAGACTGAAATATCAACTGTTTGTGAGGAACCAGTACAAGTTGCGCAAGAAAGTGATAGGTCCTTGATCAAGATACTGGACTCAAGTCACAGAATCAGTCGCTCGTCAACAAGACACGATAGGGTTAATCTTGAAAATATGCGCCGGGGAGATTCTTGTGTTCACTCTGTAGATGGAAGCAACGTTAGTCCTGTGAACCAGAGGAAATTAAGATTTTCTAAGGGAGTGAAGGAGGGCACGTTGAAGGCGAAACTACTTGAAGCAAGGTTAGATGGACACTACTCTCGTTTTGTGGCAGGCAATAGCTCTTTGGGATGAACCAGAGAAGTTTCTGGTTACAGAACTGGGTCTCATTTCACATTAAGATGTTTCGTGTACAAGTTGGTAAGTACAACTCTAGCTTCCAAAGTTAGGTCTGTGGCCTTCTTTTTGGTGCAAGAGAATCTTAACGTTATTTAGAGGATATGCACGAAAATGTAACAGAGATGTGTCAATTTGCCATGGGAAATCGATCTTAACTGCTTCCGAGTGATACAACTGTTAGGGAGATCCAATCTCTATAAGACACTAAATTGGACCGGTCCCAAAATGTCATATACTACCTCCTCTTCTTCTTCGTTTAATTTTTATTTTGATTCTAAATATAAGAACTTAATTCATTTTGTCTCTCATATTTATCTATTTTTTTTCCAAAATAGTCTATCTAATAATGATATTTTTACCTAATAAACTTGATTAGTAAGAATGTTTTGGGAAAGAAGATACATATTTATTGCAACTAACTAACTTAAGTTATTTTTTTAATATACTTAAATTAGTCAATTAGCTCTTATATCTAGGACTGGAGGTAGTATTATATAAAGCATAAAACAACATATTTTGCTGAAAATTTCCCTTTTAATCAAAATGTGCACGGCGTTTGAAATAAGTTACACTATTCAAAAGTTATTATAATTGGTGCGATTTTTTTATTAAAAATAAGTCTAAAGTTTTTTGAATGAAAAATAAGACTAACTTTTATAAAACTCTTCTAAACTTTAATCCATTTACTGATGACCTCTTTAGCCTTTAATACTTACCCAAGAATCCCCTTACATTTTATAGTTTGTGTAGATAATTCCCTGTTGTCGATTATCTAACTAATGAAGCATATGCGACCTTATTAGTTAAATGCATTCTTAAGCTTTTTTTTTTTTTTTTGCGAATAACCCTTTGAAATTTTAAGTTATGTGTGCATAATTCCATAAACTTTAAGTCACATGCAAAAAATAGACGAATCAATGGCAGGAATATTTATATAAATATAAAATTTTAGGAGAATTTATTGTAAACTTTCAAGCAGTAATCAAGGAGGCCATGCGCATAGAAGTCAAATTTCAAAAGGTATCTATAATTTAACCTAAACAAAATTTAAATTTTTCAATATTTAATGAAATAGTAAATTATAAGTTTTAAAGTACAAAGCAAGCTGGTATAGAACAATTAGTTCCAATACCATGGCATGTAGTGAACTAGAACACCAATGTGGCATATGTCCCTCACCAGAAGAAGCGTTTGGTTGGTAAAAAGTACTTACAATGCAAATAGAAACTGACGTTTGTGACAATTAAATATCCACCATTAAAAAAAAGGCTAATTTCTTCTTACATTAATATAGGCCTGATGAATGTAACAGGACTACTCCATCCAAATTTCTTAATTAATTTCACGAATGTCGACAATCTGTTGCAATAATCCCACTCTGTGTGTGACAACCGCTCTTTCAAAACCATTTTAGATTAAATGCAACAATTTATTTGAATGATTAACCATGATAGAAAAGAAGAAAACTTAAAATTTTAAAATCGCTATCATGGTTAAAAGAAATCAACTTATAATAAGAGTAACATCGATCGTTACCTTGGGCCTTGGACTTCTAAAGTCCAGAAATATCATTCAACCATTAGCTCAAACCAAACTTATATTTTCAACATACGAACTGATAAATCAGTTTAATATAAACTATAGAGCTCATTAGTCAAAAGTCAACACTTTCAAAAGAGCGTTACATGCAGAGTCTAAAATGTCTCGGGCCTCCTCACTGCCCTATCATACCAGATAGTAGTAATTAAGAGTATTATTTTACAACATGATAGTAGATGAGCCCTATGTGGCAATATATAACAAGTCAGCACATAGAACAAAAGCAGGGAGGCTATACAAGCTATAACAGCACACTATGCCTCCGGAGCCTTCCCTGATGGGCCACCACCTGAACTATCGCCTGAAAATGTTAAACCACGGGGTGAGACAAACGCCTCAGTAACCAACTTTCCAACTCATCATACATACTAACACGTGCTCGTGAGGTGTCAAGTGGGACAGTTATTAATTCTCGAGAACTATAGATATAAAATTTCAATCATCCAAACCCTCACTATGGGGGCCAACACACAAGCCACATAAGTCTATCCCTCACTCTGGGGGATAATCAAACATATGGGCCTATCCCTCACTTTGGGGGACGAATAAGAAGCCACAAGGCCTATCCCTCACTATGGGGGACGAAAGAAGAAGCCAACCAATGTGCACCAATGGCGGCCTTACCACGTGGTAGGATAGGACTCAATCCAAAATCCAAATAACAACCAATCATTCACAATATAATAAAAATGTCTCAATCTTTTCTCAGTATAATCCATAAGATATAAATCATATATCTTTTCCAAACTTCTCAATCACAATTCCAAAAATCCCACAAGACAATTTTCATAGCTCAAAAGATATAACATATCTACTCAAGTTCCAAATATCAAATATTATTCTAAAAATAGCAAAATACTCACAAACAACATATTAGCACATATAACAAGTGGAAAGTGGTTACCTCTCGCCAAAGCAATACTAAGGATTACCACAAGGTCAATCCTTTGCTCAACCAATAATTAATCTACACAATTAATATAACCACATATTAATATAAACTAATTAATTAATTAATTAAACTTCTCTATATTATTTAAATTTTTACTCTAAATTCCCACAACTCTCATAACCCAAAAATTATTAAGTATTTTAGCAACAATTTAAAATTTCTAACAACCCCAAATTATTTATTTACCACCTCCAAAATTATTTACCTTAATAAAAAGGATTTTCAACAATTTCTAAATATAAAATTATTATATTATAAACTCTAAAAAATCCTCATTTAAGTTTAAACCTCAAAATCAAACTATCAAAAATTCAATAATATTTCAAATATTTATAAATAAATAATCTAATCAAAACTTTAATGGTATAACTACCATATATATTTCCATAAATAATAAACTTTTTAGCTACAATAATTATTTTAAAACCTCCAGTCACCCAATAAATAAAAATAAACCGATTAAAATCTTAATAATATGTTAAACACCTCAATTAAATTATTCAACTTAATTTTAACCGGTAAAATATGATATAAATCATATATCACATATTTTTCAACTAGAAAAATCCATTTAAGCACTAAAACCAACAAATGGACCAATCCAAACCGATTAAAATCTCAATAATATATCAAACAACCCAAATAAATTATTTAACTTAAATTTAATCAGTAAAAATATGGTATATCTCATACATAACAGATTTTCCACTAAATAAATTAATTTTAAATACTAAAACTAGCAAATAGAGAAATCTAAACCGATTAAAATTAACAACTTATTTATTTCTAAATTTCTATAGTCATCTTTTGTCAAAACTCAATACTTATATCATATATAAGTCTCAAAATTTTCTCTAATCACTATGATAATACTACTATTAGGAAGCATAAAATATATATGAAATATTTATGAAGAAAGTTTGATGAAAAGAGATAATTTCATGTACCTAAAATATCTTCAAAAGCTTGCCTTCTCCTTCACGGGACTGCTGCTACGCTCTTTCTATTTCTTTCTCGCTCTCTTTCTCTCCTCCCTCTTTCTCTCACGCGTTCTCTCCCAATTTCTACGTCCCCTCTCCCTTTATGCTATAAATTCTAACCACCCTTAGCATTTTTTCTTCATGCATTAACTCTCCTTTCCAAAGTCTTCCTTCTCTCCCCTAAGTCTTCCTAATCCCATTTTTTTCCACACGTCTACCCCATTTTCCACTCTCTCCCAAAATTTCCACCGTAACATTTCAACTTTCCACAATTTTGGTGGAAAGTTGACTCTATTTTTTTATTTTTTTTTTTTATTTTTTTATAGGATATTACAATTCTCCCCACCTAATAAGAATTTTGTCCCCAAAATTCAAACAACCACAACAAGAAATAAAAACAAAAGTAACTCAAAGTGCTTACTAAGAAAACAGGTAAGGGTACTCGTAACGCATCCGTTCCTCTGTCTCCCAAGTAGCATCACCGGGACTCATGCCCTTCCAAAAGACTTTAACAAGACGGATAGTTTTGTTCCTTAATTGTTTATCCTTAACGTCCAAAATCCGCTCTGGTTTTGCTGGATAAGTCAAATTATCTCGCAACTCGACCTCTTCGGGTTCAATAACATGAGACGGATCGGGATGATACTTTTTCAACTGTGACACGTGGAACACGTCGTGTAAACTGGAAAGATGTGGCGGCAGCGCAATTCGATATGCAACAGGTCCAATCCGCTCCAAAATCTCATAAGGACCCATAAATCGGGGTGTAAGCTTTTTGGCTTTGATGGATCTTTGATGGATCAACACCAGTGACCGGTGAAACCTTCAGAAATACATGATCACCCACTTCAAATTCTAAAGGTCTCCTTCGACGATCCGCATAACTCTTCTGTCGACTTTGGGCCATCAACAACTTCTGCTTGATCAGCTCAATCTTTCTGGTTGTGATGTCCACTAAATCTGGGCCAATAATTGTTCTTTCACTTAATTCAGTCCAACAAAGTGGAGATCTACACTTCCTCCCGTACAAAGCTTCATATGGTGCCATCTGAATGCTAGCGTGATAGCTGTTGTTATAGGCAAACTCAGCTAATGACAAGTGAGTGTCCCAACTACCCTTTAGCTCTATAGCGCAAGCCCTCAACATGTCCTCGAGAGTCTGAATCGTCCTCTCAGTCTGTCCATCAGTCTGAGGATGATAAGCAGTACTAAACTTGAGCTTGGTGCCCATGGCTTCATGTAATGACTGCCAGAAGTTCGATGTAAACCTCGGGTCCCTATCTGAAATGATAGACTCCGGCACTCCATGAAGTCGAACAATCTCATCTATATACAGCTTTGTCAATCGTTCTAAAGAGTAAGTACTCTTGATAGGCAGGAAGTGCGCTGACTTAGTCAATCTATCTACAATTACCCATATAGCATCATAGCCAGCCGGGGTTCTTGGCATACCAGTAATGAAATCCATGGAAATACTATCCCATTTCCATTGGGGAATATCAAGATTCTTTAATAGTCCTGGAGGTCTCTGATGTTCTATCTTGACCTTTTGACATGTCAGACATTCACACAAAATTTGTGACATCCCTCTTCATTTTTGGCCACCAGTAGTTCCTTTTCAGGTCTTGGTACATCTTGGTTATCCCTGGGATGTATCGTGTAATTACTTCGATGCGCCTCTTC